GTGTGGTCTCCATTCTTCCAGGTTCACATTAACCAAATAGATTCAGTTCAAAGAAAATTTTTATGTTATATTGCTTACAAATTGGATATCCCTAGAGATAATATTGTTTATAGAGACTTGGAAATTTTACTTAAATTACAAACATTGGATAAAAGAAGGCGGAATGCAGACATTATGACCTTATATAGGGTTGTTCATGGTTCTATTGATTGCTTGTATATTTTGGCAAAACTTAATTTTCATGTGCCTCCTAGAACTTTGCGTGGACACAAAACTTTTGAAGTCAATCAACATCGTAATCGTTATGGCCAAAATGCAGCAATTGATAGAATGATGGAAAATTTTAATGAATTACAAATGGAGTTACAAGTTGACTTGTTTAATATATCCAAAAGAAAACTAAAGAATTGTCTGAAACAACTGTGATATTTTATAGGTAGGTTTTTAAACAAAGCAAGAGAAAAAGCGTAAAGATGGAATCTCAAATTTGGAAGTTGTATAGGTCTATTTATATTTTATATGTTATATTTTATATTTTGTTGGCAGATGTGATAGTCCAATTTGTAGATGTTTTATGTAGTATATTAAATTGTTAGAATCAGCTTTAAAGCTGTAAAGTTGTAAAATGGTTTACCGTTAATTAATTAATTAATTAATAAATAAATAAAACTAACTAAACATATTTGCTGTAAGTATTATTGCGAGTATTATTGTATCGTTTTTTTTTTAACAAATACTTAATGATTTTTGCTCGGATTTTTGTAAACTCATTGGCTGAAGGACCTCGGTCGATGGCCTTTTGAACTGTATTCATATCCTTTGATGTTTATCTATATATATATTTTTAGGCAAATAGAGGACTTTGTCCCAAAAAAAAGTAAACGCGGAAGGTTCTTTTCTTCTCTCTTGGAAGTTGACACCCATCCCCACTTTTTCAGCTATTGGAGATCATCAGGTATTTTTCATGGGTGAATTATTTATCAATATCAATCTTTTATTTAAACGCCAAAAAATTTGAGATCATTAAAAAAAAAATTCTTCATGTTAATCAATTTTGTTCTTCTCCAAATTTTCGAACGGGTGGCAGGCATTAAAATCACCCATATTCTCATCAGCTAACTAGCCACATTCAGCCCTCAAAATGCCAGACAAAAAAAAAATGACTCCACTCAACAGTCCCTATCTCACAGTCTATAAGGAATATACAAATGGCTTACAACATTCATATCAAAGATGAATTCAGGCATAAAAATGACAGCATGAGTGTATACTTGAGGATTGAGGAGTGGAAGCAGTAGGAAGAGAATCCCATAGTTTTTTACGAGGGGTGTGTCACTGTGTCAAAAAATGTACATGTAATTCCAAAACAATACCTATTTATCTGAATTCCAAAGACTGCCAAAGAATTCCTGGGACTGCTGAAAAAATCCATAGACTGCAAAAAATGGGGATGAATTCGACTGACTACAACTGTCAATGACTTCTCAATGAATGCCTGTACTTCCTGTGACTGCAATATGACTACCATTACTTCTAATATTATTTTTACTAGAATATACCATGTAATTTCGAAGAACAAAAAAATTTCCGTACCTTTCGCTCCAACTTTTAGAAGTCGGTTAATCAATTATATAGAAAATTCTCGAGAAAAATGTACATTTTTTTTTTTCAAATTGTGTTTAGGGAAAATCAGGAAATAACTAAAACGCTAGTACAACTAATATTTATTTTAGAAGTTCCATCCACTATCCACAGACCCTTGTACAGGGTGGCCCATTTTCGATGTTTTAATGGGCTATATCAAAAACCAGCCGAGATATCAAAAATCTGGGAGCACATTCTCGAGCTGTTTTTTTGGGAAAATAACAATGGCGAAGACAAATCACAGCTAACTTGATGCGTTTAGGAAATACAGGGCACTTTTCAAATTTTGTCCAATTTCAAAAGACTCTCTAATTTCCTTATTATTCAAGATATCCAAAAACGAAAAATACTTTCTAGGGGCAGTTTTTCAAGTAGAATCCAGTGGCATGAGCAATTTTTTCCCAGATGCCACCGATTTTGGAATATTGACCAAAGCTATGTTTTTTCAAATGGGACACCCCGTATATTTTTTTTTTTTGAATAGCTCTTTGTGAGCTAATTTCAATGATATAAGGTTTTATACCTTTACCTTCAATGGTTTTGGAGAAAAAAAAAATTAATTCCGTTTTTTCCATGAGAAACAATGAGTTAGAAAGAGATAGTTTAACTATAAATCGGCTATAAATTTCTTAATTCTTATATTAATTTTTCAGTTCAGCTAATTTTTTTTTAAATTTGAACCGAGATTTGAACTATGAATCGGGGGTGATAAATAGGCAACACATAATTTATTTAATGACCTATCTCTCTCTAGCTCATTGTTTCTTATGGAAAAACGGAATTAATTTTTTTTTGTCCAAAACTATAGAAAATCAAAATCAAAAATCAAAATCACAACTTTGGTCAATATTCCAAAATCGGAGGCATCTGGAGAAAAATTGGTCATGCCACTGGATTCTCCTTCGAAAACTGCTTATAGAAAGTATTTTTCGTTTTTGGATATCTTGATTAATAAAGGAATGAGAAGGTCTTCTAAAATTGAAGAAAGAGAGAAGTCTTTGTGTTTTTAATCGATCGTTCCTTGTAATGGTGCCTCTGCGTGTTGAATGATAACGAGGAAGAGTTTTTTTTTGACGCAGAACAATTGTCTTCCATCTCATCTTTAGTTGTTCTGCCATGTACTAAATTTTGATTCCCACCTAGTTTCTCTAGATCTTCACAAGCGTCCACTTCAATCAACTCAGAAACTTCCAGTATATCTTCATCAATGTTATGAAGGCTGTTTCCTGTAATCAAGGGGTCAGATGATTCCTTAGGAGATCCAGGCAGAATAATAAGAGGTCCTAACACTGACGATAATACCGGAAATGTCAAATGATGATGGCATCTCTGATACTGAGCTTGATGATGAAGTTTTTTTTTGGAGGTATGAGAGAATGCTTGGGTTTTTTGAGGATCCTTCTTGGTCTTTGTGATTTTTTTTACTAGTTTGAGAAAAATGAGTCTTGATATGCCTATTAAAATTTGAGCGAACCCATGTTTTTTGTGGGTATTTAGACTACACTAACAGTAACAAAATCACACTCTGGGCATCGCATCCATGGATTTCCCTCTTTTAATACCACAAACCACTGCCATTTTGTCTATATTAGCTAGAGATCGTTTTCGTTTGATTTCTAAGTCTTCTGAAAGGTCTCCCAAATTAGATAAAAAATTACTAGAAGTATGAATTATACATTTTTATATGCGTTATTGTGGATTGTCCTAGGGATTGTGATTCATTTTCTTGGCTTTCATAATTATCAAAGATGTCGAGAGATTATTTTCTGAACGCTCATCTGCGTTGAATCTCTGTGCTCAGGTTTCTACAAGTTTTTTCATGTTGCTTACTACGTCACTTACGTTTCAAATATCATGTCAAACAACTAAACAAATGTTTCTATTGAGGATTCCATATAAATATTGCACAAATCAAATTTCGCGATCAAAAGAGTGTGGCAAGTGACTGCGAATGCCGCGACCAAACTCCTCAGAATTGTCGTGAATACCAATGAATGCCGCGCGACTTCCAGCGACTACCGCGCGACTTCCAGTGACTGCCAAGTGAGTTCTAGCGACTACGCGGAATTGCGTCACTGACTGCCAAACTTTCAATGACTACTAAGCGAATTCCTGTGACTTCCACAATACGATCAAGAAAATGTACATGTAATTCCAGAAGTGACACACCCCTCGGTTTTTTATAAAGAGCAAAATTTAGAACAAAATGACACAATATACAATTTCAAAAAAGATTTTTGCCTCATACTTAAAGGACCCCGCACAATTCTTATGGGATTTCTATCCACGGTTAAATTTAACCAAATTTTAGTATTTTATAGATCTCATCTTTCTGATCAATAACTACCAGGTCACAACTTAATCCTATAGTAGACTAGTTTTTGAGATACAATACAGATAGTTTAGTCTCCAAGAAATGTACACATTTTATATGCATTTGCATCTACTTGTCTCCTAACAGGGTTGGAAAAAACCTACAAATTAGGAAAAATAATTTCAGGTTTTTAGGTTTTTTAGGTTTTTGAGGTTTTTTAGGTTTTTTTAGTATGTAATTGTTGTAACACATATTGGTGATGTAAGTATGTACCATACCTATGAATTATTATGTAAATAATTAAATTTTTAACCAAATAATAGCTAAACCGAGAAATAAAATATAGATATAGCATACTGGAAAAAAATTACCACTGAAATTACACTTTGTAAAACAAAATAACCTAAAAAACCTGAAATGTACTTATTTTAAGAAGTAGGTTTTTTTAAAAAACCTAAAAAACCTAGGTTCAAAAAAACCTGTACCTGCCAACCCTGTCTCCTAATATACGATGAACTATCCTCACGATCAGGTGACAGGTAGATGTAGACCCATATAAACTGTTATACAGAAAACATGCTTAATAAATATGTCTGAGAATGAATTAAAGGAAACCAAAAAGCTATTCAATGAAATCGGATGGGGGCTACCAATGTGCAACATTTTATTTGAGTACTCATTTCCCCAATGGTCAATTCAAATATAAGTAATTTCATATACCGTTGTATAGCTTTTTAAACCAAAAAATTAACAAAATTTAGATTTTTGATAAATTTTCAAAAGCAAAATTGTGATTGGAAAATAAAAAATAAAAACAAACAGCACGTTTTATCTGAGATTTGTGACAAGCATGGCGGACCGCGTGCTATATGACAGCCCGCTAAAACTACCAAAATAAGCAAAAGTAATAAAAAATTCAAATTTTTCTTCATGAAAAACTTAAAAAATATCAACAAAATTGCAACAACAATTACAAAAAAACTAATGCCAATGGGCCATTCTTAGTATTAATATTACTCGATTAACCGAGCGATTTACTTACGTGCTTTCATTTTTTGAACCAACATCAAAATAGATCACGATCACACGTAACTTTACGTTAACACGCCGATTTTCAGTAACTTACTAGGTAGTTCTGATACTGTCGGTAAGCACCCAATTTTTGCTACTAATGATAAGTAAAAATTGAAAAATGCTAACGAATTCAGATAGTCGGCATAGCACCAAAGAAATTCAGAGGATTTTCAACTAGTAAGACACCGTTTTGCCAATTTTCAATTATTGCAAACTATACTTAAGTAAACTGCGACACTGTTTAGACAAACTCCCCGTAGAATTAATTTGCAAAATTTGAGAAATCATATTAAAAAGTTCGAAACGTTTTCTAAGCGTGCACTTCTTCTGTCACTATTTTAGTCGATTTGTTTCTTTCTTGTGTTTATGATGGTAATTGGTAAATGGCGATCTTAAAAATCCAAACGTCAAAGGAATGTGCTCGGTAGAACACGTATAGCGCTTTCAACTTTTGCCTCAAAACTGCACCCGATTGATCAAAGAGGAATCCGGAACGGATTCGCCACGTTCGGCCTGAAACGGTGCGGTGCTCTCGGCGAGATACACGTATCCGAGCAATAAAACGCTCTCAAATCTCGCACAGAGCGCTCTTTCTTGCTCCGTCAAATTCGATGGATTAGGCTATGTTCCGATATTAACTACCAGTACTGGATTTACTGTGCTGATTTTACTGTTAGTTAGGGAGACGACCGCTTTTTCCTACCCCGATCGAGTTATGTGTCGACACTATTTTCAATATATAGTATTATGTGCATCTATCATGGGCGCCGGCAGCAGGGTGCAAGGGGGTGCACTTGCACCCCCCTGTCAGGAATACATTGAAAAAAATATTTTTTATATTATTATTATTTTTTTTTAAATAAGTTACTGTTTGAAAAAATTGCTGGAACGAGAAACGAAGGTCCCCCTCATTCTTTGTTCCCCGCGGGCCGCGACAGTTTTCGGGCTCGGATCGGGTAATTTTATTTTTAATTCGCGCGCCATCAACCTTTGGAATGGCAGGAATTTCGAATTTACTTAAGTTGGTTGTTTGGTAGAGATCGAATCCCTTGACCCTTAACAATATTTTTAATTAAAGGTGAATAAGAAAATACCAGGGTAAATACATCATATAACTTTCCGAATCACCTAGAATAATTACTTCTTTTGAATGTTCAAAATACCCGTTTTTGGGCGTGGTACAGGGTGATCTATTATAAATTTCACCCCCTTCTAATTTTTTCATTTGACATTTTTGACAAATAAAAGTGTCAAATACAAAAGTTTCAAGAAATTGTCGAAAGTTTTTAACTAAGTTAGTTTTAGGCATACAGGGTACGTCAAAAAAGTGCAGCAGTGTAAAGTTATATTTTTTCAACTGGAATACCCTGTATATTGTGGACCTATTTGTTAGTCCCCTTTAACCTGATTTCAACGATATACATTTAGATATGTTTATCTCTCGGTTTATCTCCAATAGTTACAGGGAAAAACGCGAAAATCCCTTCCTAGATCTCCCATGTTATTTTTTTTTAAATAATAATAATAACTTAGACATCTATTAATATTATTGAATGAAATTTGAACAATAAACTGTTAAAAAAAAAAATCTCTAAAGCTCATCGTATAATGGTATAATTTTTCTTTTTTCAATATGAAAGCTTGAAAGGGGTTTATGTTTTCCCCAATACCTATTTGAGATAGAAATATCAAACCATATATCGTTGAAATCAGGTTAAAGGGGACTAATAAATAAGCGCACAATATATGGGGTGTTCTATTTGGAAAAATATAACTTCACACTGCTGAACTTTTTTGACTCACCCTGTATACCTAAAACTGACTTAGTTAAAAACTTTCAACAATTTCTTGAAACTTTTGTATTTGACACTTTTGTCAAAAATGTCAAATAAAAAAGTTAGAAGGGGGTGACATTTATAATAGATCACCCTGTACCCGGAAAAATTTTCGCGCCTCCTTCGGGCATTCACCTTCTCAAATTAGTAATTTGAACCAATTTAACAATCCACGCGCCGCCACTGCCTGTATATGCACCTCCCTGAAACTAATCCTGGCGGCGCCCATGGCATCTATTAACCGGTATTCCTGCCTGAGAGCAAATGCTGCCGGAAATATCTTTTAACAAATTATTAACAAATTGAAAAAAACGTAGCACTACCCCCATCGAGTTATGCCCTAAGTGGGGTATCAGATTGAAGGTCTCAATGTCCCCTATCTAAAAAGTCGATCCTGCCTCGTGAGAACTTGCCGGAAAAGGGTGGCAGGACAGCTTATTGGGGCAAGGGCCCGCGGTCTCAGCTTTGACACCTATCAAGTTTTACCCTGAATGATGTGTCAAATTGACCTTTTGTTTGGACGCCATATTGCGGTGCGCGAACATAGTTGCCAAAAGAAGAAAACAAAAATTACTAGCGGGCTGTCAACATTACAACATAAGGGCGAGTTCAGGAATGACACACCCAGTGTGAGTGTGACACCGGTGCAACGCCCTAGCTGTTCAAAAATGCTAGACGGTGCTATGGACTCAATGGCCAATTGTCAATTTAGGTACACCCTAGGGTTGCCACCTGTTGATTTCCGAAAACCCGGACATCGGACATAATCGATAATCAATCCAAGCTAGGATACATTAAACATGCGTACATACCCTCGATCGTACATAATATGTACCATCGTCACCCAAAAGTATCTGGGACACGGGACACATATAATGCATAATAATCTCCTGGACTAATTCTACTCTCATTCATTTCAATGCATTTAATTCATAGTTTGACAATAAAATTCATATATAATAGGACAAGAGCTATGTGATGCTGTCCCAGTTACTTTTGGTGACGATGATACCTAACTTTATTATGATCGTCTTTTGGAAAATAAAGCACTGCGCTGAGTTATGGTTGTATTTTATTGCACTAAGTTGCCTGGCTACAAAATTTGCTTATGAATTTAAAAAAAAGGTGTTACATAGCCTAAGGCGAAGCTAGGAAACCAGCCAAGAATGGCATTAAATCTGATTTTTTGCTGTGTGAAATATATCATTTTTCTCCGAATTTGTTCTAATTTCACACATAATCCACTTTTTATATTTATTAATTGCGTTGGCCGCTGATAACGTTTGTTGAATAGGTAGAAACGAATTTTTCTGCCTAGGCAGAAAAAGTCCACTTTTTCGTCACTAAGCTCAAAATCGGAGACGTTCGTGACACACCCGTCATTTAAGAAGTAGGACGTTCAGAAATTAGTTAGGTATATAGACGTTTGGCAATGGGGCCTATTGCCAAACGCATCAAATTTTTTCATTGCTGATTTCGATAGTCCATGAAAAATAAGTCAACACGTGTTTTTTCTTTTTCTTGTTAGTCAAAAATTGACGGAGATGCAACGCTTTGAAATGTCCTTCTGACGTCATAACTTATAATACGTTGTGACGTCGCACATGCTCAGTATAGTATATCTATATATACAAAACTCAATATTTGTATAACTTTCGAAATAATCATATTTGGACTAAATAAAAAAACACGCATCAATTTTTTTTCGATTTACCACAGTTTGCAATAAACAATAATCAATTTAATTTTCCATACAAGTACCCAATTGCCTTTAACAATTTTATCATTAATTATTATCAATTATACAGTTATCCAGATATTCCCGGACATTTTCATCATGCGTCCGGACACCGGACAAACCTTTAAAAAACCGGACAGTCCGGGTGAAAACCGGACAGGTGGCAACCCTAGTACACCCTTAAAATCGCACTCGCACCCTGTGCGTTATTTCTGAACTTGGCCCAATGCAAGCTAAAGTTGATGGCTATTCTTCTCAAAAACATTCGTAATAGGCGGCAAATTTGAATTTTAAATGTAATTTATTCAGTAACTTTTGTTTTTAATGTTGACAGAACGATAGTAATTTTTTTTTCCACTTTTGGCAATTGACTTTTTGTTTGGACGCCATATTGCGGTGCGCGAACATAGTTGCCAAAAATAGAAAAAAAAAATTACTAGCATACTGTCAACATTAAAAACAAAAGTTACTGAATAAATAGCATTTTAAATTTAAATTTGCCGCCTATTACGAATGTTTTTGAAAATAAAAGCCATCAATTTTAGCTTGTATTGGCCAGAATATAAATAATAAAATAATCATTTAGTTAGTTTTGTTTTTAATGTTGACAGCCTGCTATAGTAATTTTTGTTTTCTTCTTTTGGCAACTATGTTCGCGCACCGCAATATGGCGTCCAAACAAAAGGTCAATTATGTTCGCGCACCGCAATATGGCGTCCAAACAAAAGGTCAATTAAAGGTGTTAATAAGTTAATTTAAGGTCTCTTCGCACAGAAATCCCAAACCAGAAGGAATGAATTTCATTGGTTGAAACTGGTTTCCTGACTGTTTCCAACCAATGAAATTCGCTCTGACTGGTTTGTGATTTCTGTGCGAACAGACCTTAAATCAACTTATTGACACCTTTAGTTTGACACATCATTTAGTGCAAAGCTTGATAGGTGTCGAAGCAGAGACCGCGGGCCCTTTCCCCAATAAGCTGTCCTGCCACCCTTTTCCGGCATGTTCTCACGAGGCAGGATCGACTTTTTAGATAGGGGACATCGAGACCTTCAATCTGATACCCTACTTAGGGCATAACTCGATGGGGGTAGTGTTACGTTTTTTTCAATTTGTTAATAATTTGTTAAAAGATATTTCCGGCATCATTTGCTCTCAGGCAGGAATACAGGTTAATAGATGCACATAATACTATATATTGATAATAGTGTCGACACATAACTCGATCGGGGTAGGAAAAATGCGGTCGTCTCCCAGACTATGTCATTTGCCGTTCCGATTTCAACAGCGTACTTTTCTATTCGTTCAGTACTGAATCGACGGCATCCAGTGTAATATCGGAACGGCGTCCAGTAAATTCAGTACTGACAGTTGATATCGGAACATAAGCTAAAGCCTAGTACTCATAACTGAAAAATTCGCATTTTTTTGACATTGCGTTGACAATTTGACGTTTTATGCGTGTATCAAACGTCAAATTGTCAACGCAATGTCAAAAAAATGCGAATTTCGCAGTTATGAGTACTAGGCTTTAGTCTGATGACCTATAACCAGTGTTGCCAACAGTATTTTTTTAATTCCGTCAAAAATCCGTTAAACCTTTTTTCGTCAATAAAATCCGTCTTGAAACATGCGAAATGCGCTAAACAAATAAAATATATTCAGTAGTGCCAACCAAATAATGCAGAGTTAACGACATTGACGGCAGTGCCATTTGATTTTAGGCGTGTTTAGAAACACTGATCCGTTTCACCCGATCACCAAGGCATTTTCTCGCGTCTCAAATGTTTCAAAACTGGTTTAAGTAATGTCACCATGACGTCATAATTTCTCGGCGTGAGAAAATGGTTTGAAAATGTGGATTAGATTGCATTTCGAAACAATTTGAACCAATTTTGACGTGACGTCGTGGGTTTATCGCGAGAATGTAAAGTATGTTTTTTTTTTAAAGATAAATGTCAAAATGACAATATGTTGGCAATACAATGTAAAATTGACAATGCATTCAAATTTTTTATGTAGAAAAGGCTTGTGTTGCCAACATAGTTACTAAATTTTTGACTTGGGGAATTATCTATAAAAAAAAACAGACTTTACTGTTTCAAAACAGTTTCGAACCAGTTTCAAAAAAGTGGACGCGAGAAAACGCCTCAAGGTGTTTGTATTATTTTATCTTTTTCCAATGAACACCATTGAAAAAAGACAGATAATATCAGCTGGTGATCGGATCAACGTTTCCGTAAAGGCTTGTTTACAGACCAAAAGTAGCTTGAATCGCTAAACAACCACTTTATTACATTCAGAACATAATTTAGAATTTTTAAACGGAAACTTTGTTCCCGTTAAAAAATCCGTCACCCGTTGAAACTGTTTGTTTTCCGTTTCCCTCCACAAAAATCCGTTAGATATGACGGAAAATCCGCTAAGTTGGCAACGCTGCCTATAACCCTTTTCACGTGGCTCCGGTTTAACAAACCGCAACATACCGCTCAAATTCGAGTGGTAGGTATCCATCACGTCACTTTGTAATCGGGTTAGAAAACGGTATGTCTTTTTCTCTAACCGTTTTGTAACCCGGTTAGTTAAACCGGAGCCACGTGAAAAGAACTTATGCGTTCGGCTAATAATTTCAAATGGTGTGCCCTTGTTTGGATATAATCGCTCTTAGCTCTCGAAGCACTCCCGCAGAGATCTGTGACGTCACCGCCCTGACACAAGCTTAACCTGTATCACAAGAAATCTATCGAGGTCTGCGGGTGACGTCACCACTATCTCATTGTTGCAATGACATTTCACTAATGGACCGGCCCTCGCTATATTCTCGAACAGCGTTTGCTTGCGGCCAACATTAGTAAGAGAGATCCGAGAGCGAGATCGAGCTATTTGTGGCAAACACTCATATTTTTATTTAAAGGCGATGTGACCCAAAAATGAAAGTTTTAGAGGAAAAAAATCTAAGAATAAATATTTAAACCGCATCTTGCTACGATGGTTCGTTTTCGAGTTAGGGCGATTTAAAGTTATAAAGCCTAGTACTCATACCTGCGAAATTCGCATTTTTTTTGACATTGCGTTGATAATTTGACGTTTTATGCGTGTATTAAACGTCAAATTGTCGAAGGAATTTGACGTTTTATGCGTGTATCAAACGTCAAATTGTCGAAGCAATGTCAAAAAAATGCGAATTTCGCAGTTATGAGTACTAGGCTTTAACTAGGCGTTTGTGACGTCACACTGGATTATCAGGGACAGTATTAACATGTGTAAGAATTTTCCAAAACAAAAGACAATCATCTTCTAGAGCGAATTGCAACCACTCAAAGTATAGGGTACGGTTCACTGATGACTGAACGAACCGAATACTGTGATTTCGGCGGTTGTGACATCACAAATTCCTGCATAATTTATCTTCACAAGGAATTTTCTCGGAGACTATTTTGAATAATGAATATAGTACTACGGTTTTTACGAGAGATCAAACACTGGTATTCATAGTCAATCACCAGCGAGTCGCTGTATTTGGCCCAGCACACGGCGAATCGTTGGCGATTGACTATGAATACCAGTGTTAAAGAACAGACTGTAAGCCTTTACTGGGAATATTTGGTAAAGATAAGGGAATTCCTCAAATGCATGCAAACAGAATTCAAAAATGGTCAGCCTATTTGAGTAACTTTTCTTACGAAATGGAGCATATTCAGGGTAAAAATAATGTATTAGCCGACTATTTAAGTAGAGCTCCAGTAAAAATTAAATTAACTAACAAAGAAAATCCCGGAAAAAGTATGTTTCTCAATTTTACAGCCTCTCAAGACGAATGGCCCATAAACAACGAAGATATATGCAAAAATACTAGTGAGGACAAGAAGCTGAAACAGATTGTGAGGTATGTGCAGCAAGAAAATTGGCCAAGCCGAATTTCCGCAGAGATTCGTCCATACTACATCCGCAGAGAAGAGTTATACGTGGAAAATGGTGTACTGATGTGGGGATATAGAATGGTAATTCCTAAAGCCTTACAGTCAGATTGGCTGGGCGAACTTCATTTTTATCATTTGGCATGGTTAAAACCAAGGCCATATATTTATTGGCCTAATATGGACCAAGACATAGAATCGACATGCAAAAGATGCAGCTATTGCCAGCAGAATAAGTCCTTACCGCCCAAATCTGATTTAACACCTTGGAGAATCGAAAAAGCCCCATGGCAGAGAATCCACAGGGATTATTTAGGGCCGATCCAAGGGAAAATGTTGCTTTTGGTGGTGGACGCATTTTCGAAGTGGATTGAGCTGATACCAGTAAATTATATGTCGTCTTTGGAAACAGAAGAAAAGTTGAAAGAAGTTTTCGCTAGGTTTGGCTTGCCAAAGGTTATTGTATCGGATAATGCAACACAATTTAAGGCCGCAAACATACAACAGATGTGAAAACGAAACGGCATAAGGACCATGTTGGCCCCTCCAGGAAATCCGGAATCAAATGGCCAAGCGGAAAATGGAGTAAAAACAGTTAAAACTAATATTAAAACTAGGCTTTTGGACCCCAGGAATAAAGACAAGAGTTTGAATATGATTATTTCAGAAGTTTTGTTTTCTTTTAGGAACACCCCCCACATCTCCACTAAAGAAATGCCGTCCAAACTGATGTTTGGAAGAAATTAGAACAAGATTGGAAATTCTGAGAGAAACCCCAATTTCAAACCAAGTCCAGAATGAACAAAACACATCTAGGGAGGCTGGACAGGAAGAATAACAAAACAACTATAAAAACAGTATAGAAAATCTGGAAAGGGCTCAAAAACGACAGATAAAGCAGCATGGGGGCAGAAGAAGGAGTTTTCGGGAGAAAGAGAGAGTATTTGTAACTGACTATAGAAGTCAAAACCACAGGAGCTGGACCAAAGCAGTAATCCACAAAATCATAGGTCGAACTACTTATTTGTGTGAAATAGAGTCAGGACAAATATGGAAAAGGCACGCAAATCAGATCATAAGTAGAACACTGGATAAAGAAACACCAAAAGAATTAGGAAAAGACAGGCGAGGTTTGCAGAGTAGAGGGGTGGAGAACCAGGTAACAATTAAAACCAGATACTGTTACCACGGGCCGCAGAAGGACAGCCCTTCAGGCAAAAGACCAATGAATGATAATATTGTAAGTTTACCTAGCTCTCTGAATGTCTCTGGCTGTTCAGAGGATAGCCAAATGTCATTAATTTTGGGTACAACGTACAACGGTCGAAATTTGATCGTGGCGCCATCTAAGACAAAACTTCAACACCAAGCAGCAATTTTCGCTGCCATATGGTGACTGAGTATCTAATTGGCCGACCAAAATTCAGTTCGTGGGAAAAAACCCAGAATATGAAAACCTATTATCCACCATTAATTTTAGGTTCTGATAAAACGCCGGAAAACAGCCATCCTTCTTTTGTCGATGCTAATAGTTCTTTTTCCACAGATTCCCAAATCGAGAGACCGGAGTCAGTTGTAGATGATAGTTTCAACGAAGTTGACAATGTTGACACTGAAGCAGGCATACCTAATTCCATCAAAATTTGTAAAGATACAAAAGACAGAGCAAACACGTCTACACCTGGCGACCTGGCACAGGGCCTGCGAAGGTCAGTAGTTATGGAAGAAATATTAAGAAACCAACATGGGGAAAAGACTACTCGTTTGAGATTGACTAACGAATTAATTAGTCTAAACAAAAAAAAAGTAATAGAATTAAGATATATAACTTGTACACATTTTGGTATGTAACTTATTCCTTAGGACTAGAATAAAGTATTATTGTCTCTAATTGTTTCATGTAGGAATATTAATTTGTAAATTTGAGCTTTCAGGTACTTATAAATGATAAACTGACTAAAATTGAAATTGGTTACTGTTGGAAATTTAGGACAATGTTAATTTGTGTAATGTAATTTTTAGCAATTAGGTTCCGAGTGTATGCAAAGATGTTGATGAGCATGGCTTGGAAGTGACGGTGACCTGTTCTCAAGAATGGTAACAACCAACATAGGAGGAGAGTGAGATATCCCTGCAGCTGGGGAAGCCGAACAGGACCAGCAACACTGCTGGACCGACTGCTAGAATCCTACGCCAACCCGCTAGGGTGCCAGTCGGCCGAGTCGGCCCTTACCATGAACTGTGATATATTAACGTATAAGAGAACCTCCGTCTGTGATAGCCAAAGTGGCGTTAAAAAGAACCTGTTAATAAACCAAGCTTAATATTTTATCGATCGGTGTTTTATTTGTAGCCAGACACTACACAATGAAATATGAATTTCGTTCCCCCCTCTGCTGTATTTAATTGCAGAATAAGATGGCAGAATGACAACCTGTTATGGCCCTTAAAGGGGTTGTGATCCTAAAAAACAACTTAAGCTACTTAAATCAAGAAAAAAATCTAACACTGGTATTCATAGTCAATCGCCAACGATTCGCCGTGTGCTGGGCCAAATACGGCGTGATTTTTGTCAATTTTCGATTGTAGCCTCTCCACGGTTGCTTGTGCCGCTTTGAAAATAGCTATACATTATAGCTTCTACTCCTAGCAATCAATAAAAATTAATTTTGTGTAATGCCCCGCCGTCTGAGTGTCTCAAAAAAACTAAAAATACTAAAATGTCGTGATTTTTGTAAATTTTCGATTATAGCTTCTACACGGTTGCTTGTGCCGCTTTGAAAATAGCTATACATTATAGCTACTACTCCTAGTAATCCATAAAAATTAATTTTGGGTAATGCCCCGCCGTCTGAGTGTCTCAAAAAAAATAAAAACCCTAAAAAAGTCGTGATTTTTGTCAACTTTCGCTTGTAGCCTCTCCACGGTTGCTTGTGCCGCTTTGAAAATAGCTACACATTATAGCTTCTACTCCTAGCAATCCATAAAAATTAATTATTTCGTGTAATGCCCCGCCGTCTGAGTGTCACAAAAAAAATAAAAACCCTAAAAAAGTCGTGATTTTTGTCAATTTTCGATTGTAGCTTCTACACGGTTGCTTGTGCCGCTTTGAAAATAGCTATACATTATAGCTACTACTCCTAGCAAGTAGCAATCCATAAAAATTAATTTTGGGTAATGTCCCGCCGCCTGAGTGTCTCAAAAAAAATAAAAACCCTAAAAAAGTCGTGATTTTTGTCAACTTTCGCTTGTAGCCTCTCCACGGTTGCTTGTGCCGCTTTGAAAATAGCTATACATTATAGCTTCTACTCCTAGCAATCCATAAAAATTAATTATTTCGTGTAATGCCCCGCCGTCTGAGTGTCACAAAAAAAATAAAAACCCTAAAAAAGTCGTGATTTTTGTCAATTTTCGATTGTAGCTTTTACACGGTTGCTTGTGCCGCTTTGAAAATAGCTATACATTATAGCTACTACTCCTAGTAATCCATAAAAATTAATTTTGGGTAATGCCCCGCCGTCTGAGTGTCTCAAAAAAAATAAAAACCCTAAAAAAGTCGTGATTTTTGTCAATTTTCAATTGTAGCTTCTACACGGTTGCTTGTGCCGCTTTGAAAATAGCTATACATTATAGCTTCTACTCCTAGCAATCCATAAAAATTAATTTTGTGTAATGCCCCGCCGTCTGAGTGTCACAAAAAAAATAAAAACCCTAAAAAAGTCGTGATTTTTGTCAATTTTCGATTGTAGCTTCTACACGGTTGCTTGTGCCGCTTTGAAAATAGCTATACATTATAGCTACTACTCCTAGCAATCCATAAAAATTAATTTTGGGTAATGCCCCGCCGTCTGAGTGTCTCAAAAAAAATAAAAACCCTAAAAAAGTCGTGATTTTTGTCAATTTTCGATTGTAGCTTCTACACGGTTGCTTGTGCCGCTTTGAAAATAGCTATACATTATAGCTACTACTCCTAGCAATCCATAAAAATTAATTTTGGGTAATGCCCCGCCGTCTGAGTGTCTCAAAAAAATAAAAACCCTCCCTAAAAAAGTGGTGATTTTTGTCAATTTTCGATTGTGGCTTCTACACGGTTGCTTGTGCCGCTTTGAAAATAGCTATACATTATAGCTACTACTCCTAGCAATCCATAAAAATTAATTTTGGGTAATGCCCCGCCGTCTGAGTGTCTCAAAAAAAATAAAAACCCTAAAAAAGTCGTGATTTTTGTCAATTTTCGATTGTAGCTTCTACACGGTTGCTTGTGCCGCTTTGAAAATAGCTATACATTATAGCTACTAATCCTAGCAATCCATAAAAATTAATTTTGGGTAATGCCCCGCCGTCTGAGTGTCTCAAAAAAATAAAAACCCTAAAAAAGTGGTGATTTTTGTCAATTTTCGATTGTAGCTTCTACACGGTTGCTTGTGCCGCTTTGAAAACAGCTATATATTATAGCTACCACTCCTAGCAATCCATAAAAATTAATTTTGGGTAATGCCCCGCCGTCTGAGTGTCTCAAAAAAATAAAAACCCTAAAAAAGTCGTGATTTTTGTCAATTTTCGATTGTAGCTTCTACACGGTTGCTTGTGCCGCTTTGAAAATAGCTATACATTATAGCTACTACTCCTAGCAATCCATAAAAAATAATTTTGGGTAATGCCCCGCCGTCTGAGTGTTTCAAAAAAAATAAAAACCCTAAAAAAGTCGTGATTTTTGTCAATTTTCGATTGTAGCTTCTACACGGTTGCTTGTGCCGCTTTGAAAATAGCTATACATTATAGCTACTACTCCTAGCAATCCATAAAAATTAATTTTGGGTAATGCCCCGCCGTCTGAGTGTCTCAAAAAAAAAAACCCTAAAAAAGTGGTGATTTTTGTCAATTTTCGATTGTAGCTTCTACACGGTTGCTTGTGCCGCTTTGAAAACAGCTATATATTATAGCTACTACTCCTAGCAATCAATAAAAATTAATTTTGTGTAATGCCCCGCCGTCTGAGTGTCTTAAAAAAAAACAAAAACCCTAAAGAAGTCGTGATTTTTGTCAATCTTCGATTGTAGCCTATATACGGTTGCTTGTGCCGCTTTGAAAACAGCTATACATTATAGCTACTTCTCCTAGCAATCCATAAAAATTAATTTTGGGTAATGCCCCGCCGTCTGAGTGTCTCAAAAAAAATAAAAACCCTAAAAAAGTCGTGATTTTTGTCAATTTTCGATTGTAGCTTCTACACGGTTGCTTGTGCCGCTTTGAAAACAGCTATATATTATAGCTACTACTCCTAGCAATCAATAAAAATTAATTTTGTGTAATGCCCCGCCGTCTGAGTGTCTTAAAAAAAAACAAAAACCCTAAAGAAGTCGTGATTTTTGTCAATCTTCGATTGTAGCCTATATACGGTTGCTTGTGCCGCTTTGAAAACAGCTATACATTATAGCTACTTCTCCTAGCAATCCATAAAAATTAATTTTGGGTAATGCCCCGCCGTCTGAGTGTCTTAAAAAAAAATAAAAACCCTAAAAAAGTCGTGATTTTTGTCAATTTTCGCTTGTAGCCTCTCCACAGTTGCTTGTGCCGCTTTGAAAATAGCTATACATTATAGCTACTACTCTTAGAAATCCATAAAAATTAATTTTGTGTAATGCCCCGCCGTCTGAGTGTCAAAAAAAATAAAAGCCCTAAAAAAGTCGTGATTTTTGTCAATTTTCGCTTGTAGCCTCTACACGGTTGCTTGTGCCGCTTTGAAAATAGCTATACATTATAGCTACTACTCCTAGCAATCCATAAAAATTAATTTCGTGTAATGCCCCGCCGTCTGAGTGTCTCAAAAAAAATAAAAACCCTAAAAAAGTCGTGATTTTTGTCAATTTTCAATTGTAGCTTCTACACGGTTGCTTGTGCCGCTTTGAAAATAGCTATACATTATAGCTACTACACCTAGCAATCCATAAAAATTAATTTTGTGTAATGCCCCGCCGTCTGAGTGTCTCAAAAAAAATAAAAACCCTAAAAAAGTCGTGATTTTTGTCAATTTTCGCTTGTAGCCTCTACACGGTTGCTTGTGCCGCTTTGAAAATAGCTATACATTATAGCTACTACTCTTAGAAATCCATAAAAATTAATTTTGTGTAATGCCCCGCCGTCTGAGTGTCAAAAAAAATAAAAGCCCTAAAAAAGTCGTGATTTTTGTCAATTTTCGCTTGTAGCCTCTACACGGTTGCTTGTGCCGCTTTGAAAATAGCTATACATTATAGCTACTACTCCTAGCAATCCATAAAAATTAATTTTGTGTAATGCCAATGCCCCGCCGTCTGAGTGTCTCAAAAAAAATAAAAACCCGAAAGAAGTCGTGATTTTTGTCAATTTTTGATTGTAGCTTCTACACGGTTGCTTGTGCCGCTTTGGAAATAGCTATACTTTATAGCTACTACTCCTAACAATCCATAAAAATTAATTTTGTGTAATGCCCCGCCGTCTGAGTGTCTCAAAAAAAATAAAAGCCCTAAAAAAGTCGTGATTTTTGTCAATTTTCGATTGTAGCCTCTATACGGTTGCTTGTGCCGCTTTGAAAACAGCTATACATTATAGCTGCTACGCCTAGCAATCCATAAAAATTAATTTTTTGTAATGTCCCGCCGTCTGAGTGTCTCAAAAAAAATAAAAACCCTAAAAAAGTCGTGATTTTTGTCAATTCTTGATTTTAGCTTCTACACGGTTGCTTGTGCCGCTTTGGAAATAGCTATACATTATAGCTACTACTCCTAGCAATCCATAAAAATTAATTTTGTGTAATTCCCCGCCGTCTGAGTGTCTCAAAAAAAATAAAAACCCTAAAAAAGTTGTGATTTTTGTCAATTTTCGCTTGTAGCCTCTTCACGGTTGCTTGTGCCGCTTTGAAAATAGCTATACATTATAGCTACTACTCCTAGCAATCCATAAAAATTAATTTTGGGTAATGCCCCGCCGTCTGAGTGTCTCAAAAAAAATAAAAACCCTAAAAAAGTCGTGATTTTTGTCAATTTTCAATTGTAGCTTCTACACGGTTGCTTGTGCCGCTTTGAAAATAGCTATACATTATAGCTTCTACTCCTAGCAATCCATAAAAATTAATTTTGTGTAATGCCCCGCCGTCTGAGTGTCTCAAAAAAAAATAAAAACCCTAAAAAAGTCGTGATTTTTGTCAATTTTCGATTGTAGCCTCTATACGGTTGCTTGTGCCGTTTTGAAAATAGCTATACATTATAGCTACTACTCCTAGAAATCAATAAAAATTAATTTTGTGTAATGCCCCGCCGTCTGAGTGTCTTAAAAAATACAAAAACCCTAAAAAAGTCGTGATTTTTGTCAATTTTCGATTGTAACCTATATACGGTTTCTTGTGCCGCTTTGAAAACAGCTATACATTATAGCTACTACGCCTAGCAATCCATATAAATTAATTTTTTGTAATGCCCCGCCGTCTGAGTGTCTCAAAAAAAATAAAAACCCTAAAAAAGTCGTGATTTTTGTCAATTCTTGATTTTAGCTTCTACACGGTTGCTTGTGCCGCTTTGGAAATAGCTATACATTATAGCTACTACTCCTAACAATCCATAAAAATTAATTTTGTGTAATGCCCCGCCGTCTGAGTGTCTCAATAGCTATTTATGTACCAAGGGGATTATGTAGATTATAATGCCCGAAGGCGAAACTAGCCCGAGGGCCTATGGCCCGAGGGATATATTTCGCCTGAAGGGCATTATAATCTTGAAATCCCCGTGGTGCATACAATGCTTTATTTTCTACTCAACACAATGTTTTTTCATCAATTTGTACTTAACAAAATCAGTTAAACTTGTGTGACAGAATATTGTTTTGTATTTTGACATGTACCTGTACCTGTACCTGTACCTGCGACCTGTACATAGAAACGAAATAAATTAATATATCTATAAACATCTCATAAGGCAAGGCAACGGTGGTGGTCCTGTGGGTTAACGCGCTGGACTACATGGGAAACATTGATGGTAGACCGGGTTCGAATCCTGGCTAGACCGAAAATTATTTTCGGTCAGACATTTAGTGGCTGCCTAGGGTAAAGTGCAAATTAATAGAAAAACAACTAAAACACCTTAAGGTATTATAAGCGGGCGTTATAGATCATAACGCCCGCAAAAGCGGGCGTTATGGATCAGGTTGTTATAGGTGTGTTAACGTATTTCGTTTCCTAGGTATTATGGATCTATAATAGTAAAGTAGAAAATAAAAAAAATAAAAACCCTAGAAAAGTCGTGATTTTTGTCAATTTTCGCTTGTAGCCTCTCCACAGTTGCTTGTGTCGCTTTGAAAATAGCTATACATTATAGCTACTACTCTTAGCAATCCATAAAAATTAATTTTGTGTAATGCCCCGCCGTCTGAGTGTCTCAAAAAAAACAAAAACCCTAAAAAAGTCGTGATTTTTGTCAATTTTCGCTTGTAGCCACAGTTGCTTGTGCCGCTTTGAAAATAGCTATACATTATAGCTACTACTATTAGCAATCCATAAAAATTAATTTTGTGTAATGCCCCGCCGTCTGAGTGTCTCAAAAAAAACAAAAAACCCAAAAAAGTGATTTTTGTCAATTTTCGATTGTAGCCTATACACAGTTGCTTGTGCCGGTTTAAAAACAGCTATACATTATAGCTACTAGCTATTTTCAAACCGGCACAAGCAACCGTATAGAGGCTACAATCGAAAACTGACAAAAATCACGACTTTTTTAGGGTTTTTGTTTTTTTTGAGACACTCAGATGGCGGGGCATTACACAAAATTAATTTTTATGGATTGCTAGGAGTAGTAGCTATAATGTATAGCTATTTTCAAAGCGGCACAAGCAACCGTATAGAGGCTACAATCGAAAATTGACAAAAATCACGACTTTTTTTAGGGTTTTTTTTTTTGAGACACTCAGACGGCCGGGAATTACACAAAATTAATTTTTATGGATTGCTAGGAGTAGTAGCTATAATGTATAGCTCATTTCAAAGCGGCACAAGCAACCGTATAGAGGCTACAATCGAAAATTGACAAAAATCACGACTTTTTTAGGGTTTTTATTTTTTTTGAGACACTCAGACGGCGGGGCATTACACAAAATTAATTTTTATTGATTTCTAGTAGTAGCTATAATGTATGTTTTCAAAGCAGCACAAGCAACCGTATATAGGCTACAATCGAAAATTGACAAAAATCACGACTTTTTTAGGGTTTTTGTTTTTTTTGAGACACTCAGACGGCGGGGCATTACACAAAATTAATTTTTATGGATTGCTAAGAGTAGTAGCTATAATGTATAGCTTTTTTCAAAGCGGCACAAGCAACCGTGTAGAAGCTACAAGCGAAAATTGACAAAAATCACGATTTTTTTAGGGTTTTTTTTTTTCGAGTTACCCAGACGGGGCATTGCACAAAATTAATTTTTGTGGATCGCTAGTAATAGTAGCTAACATTCATAGCTATCTATAATATGGCACAAACAGCCCCCAGAATATATGAGAATCCGGCCGGTATAGTAAAAAGTAGGCCTAACCGCGATTCGATAGTTTTATGGCTGAGATTTTATGGATAACTTCACACTAACATGGTGTCGAGTAGTCTACGACTAACCACAAACTTTTGAAGAATAGCGACGCAGACACGAGACCGAAAAGAGGGACCGCAGGAAGGAGCGAGAGAACAAAGGAAGCGGCTATGCTGCCAGAGTCTGGGGCTCCAGAAATAAAAAAAAGTTACAGCTCAAGAACAAAATTCCGGTTTTTTTTTGGACCACCCTATATTTTATAAGCTTAGTCTACCTACATAGAAAATACTGCAAGGCATGCATTTTATTTAGGTATCTTTCTTTTTTTCATCTTAATCCAAACAAAAATATTATTGTATAGTATCTAGCTTTGATACCGATACTGCCGACTTTGCCGAATGTTGGATATTCCTTTAAATTTTCTAGTGGGTATAGTGCAGTGGTATAGTAGTAGGTGGCAGTGCCTCCCCTGCCGTAAAAGATTTTCCAAATGTTTTTTTGAAGGCTTAAAATAAACGTTTTTGGGTGTGGTACCCGAAAAAAAATTCTGCCTGCGGCGGACTTAAGTACCCCCGCTCTGAAATGAAAAAACCCAGGTACGAGACGGGCGGCAAATATTGAGTTTCACACGGGTGGCACACACCTTAACGGCGGCCCTGGAAGTAAAAGTCAATAAAGTGACATTTTCGAACTTTTTAAAATTCAGAAATGTCAACATTACATGCTAGTCCAAGAGCCGGCAATACTAACGGGTATGTGATCGTTGCAATGGATAATTTCCACATAAAACAATAGATCATAGTAACTTTTAAACCAAATGGATGGGTTGCCTTGATTCTCATGGCCGCAAAGTTGTTTTATAAAAAGATACTTTTATTAATTTTATAAATAGAACAAAACCATAAGCGCAACAAATAAAAAGTACCTTGCGGTGTAGGGGGTTCTCATCAGATGCGGCAAACACTTTATTAACACAATTTCATGTTTCTTTTTTTGTCTAAAGACCTACAGCCGTATGCAAAATTCTTTTCACGGAATCCTCTTTTAACTTTAAAAGTGACTTTGAAAGCTGTCACTTTCAAAAATTTGTATTCAGCAAGCAAAATAATGCGCGCCCTCGACTTTCAATGAGGGTTGCCATCATTTCCGGCCATTAAAATCGAGGCAACCCTATATATTATTTGGAGAAGACATATTAAAGAATATATCTACCAATTTTCAGCTATTGCAACGATAACATTGTTCCTTCGAAAAAAAGGGTAGTTAACACCCAGCCACCTAAGGGTTGCGGCCATGAGAATCAAGGCAACCCATCCATTTAGTTTAAAGATAACTATGACCTATTCTTTTATGTGAAAATTATCCATTGCAACGATTACATACCTGTTAACATTGCCGGCTCTCCTACTATGTATGATTGTAAATAAACATTATTTCAATTGAGGTTTTTTATATTTCTAACCCTTCGTCATTTACCAATTCCAAAACCAAATTGAGTCAGCAATCTATTGAACATCCTCATCCTGCCCTGCTAAGTACCAATTAAAAGATAAAAGAGTGTAGTGGTAACCCTATTCAAAATCTAGATAGAGAAAACGGATAAAATCCTTAGGTGCTTTTATTGAGTCTTGACATTTTCTACACCAATTTGGAACACTTTATGCACATCCCTGCTGCAATATGCTAGTAGTTCTTCATCCAAACTCTCGAGAAAAGAATTAAAAATGGTTTGCAAGTCTTTTTCATGGAAAAATATGTTTTAAATTCAGATTTTATACCATTTTGTGAATCTATCTTACCCTTATAACTAAAAACAACAGGAATAAGCAAAGGTAACTTCTAGTTTCAAAAAAAATAAAAAAATTTCTGTAATTGAAAAACATTTCTCTGAGCAAATATTTCCAAAACTGCTCGGCTTAAATGTAACATAAATCAAGGTTCAGAAAATTCACAACTTTTTGCTATATTTTCCTGAATTGACCTGCAATTATTGTTTTCACAAATGTTTTTATCCCAACAACTGGATTTTTATCCCAACAACTTTCCTATGCAACACTTTTTTTATCACTCCAATTAACTGTCTAATGTTGCTTAAACCATTTTCAAAAATTTGTCTTATTCTATTCTACAGGTCATTCAGGGTCATCTTACTTTTAGGACTTGTTCAAATAAACTCTAGATTGAAGATCAAAGAAAAAAGTTCAGCGGCGTCAGATCTGGAAATCTTGTTGGCTACTCTTCAGCTAATCCAACATGTGGAAACATTCGGTTCAAATACTTAATTATGTGGCATGGAAATCATGGGATCACATTCAAAATAATTTTGTATTTTATAAGGGAAAATTAAATAACCACATTCCATATCACCACCTTTATTAAAAATACAATCCTGTTTAACTTCCAGCTTATTAAATACAACTATACTGTTTTAAATATTGTAATAAAGTCAAGGCCAAGAAAAATGCCGCGTATTTTTGGCTAAGCATTGAATTTCATTATATTTTTCTTGCGAGGCTGATCAAATTTATGTCTTCTGATTCTGGTGTGATAATGTAGTTTAATAAATATTTATGAATAACCTTTAGCTGTGAATTTAAGTACTTTTAAATGAAGTAGGTATTCAATGTTTTTAGACAAAAATACATGACAAATTTATTTATAGGAACAAGAACATAAGAAAATTAGACCAATTTATGTATTTTTTTTTCTAAAATCATGTCATAGTGCTCCTCTAAAGCAGATTCTCATTTTAACCAACTTGCCCATCAATTATTGGCAGAGCTCCTTTTTCAAGCACTCCTTGAAGATTATGTTTTTCGCATTAATTATTCCTTATTCTATTCAACTCTATTATTCTACAAAAATAAAGCCTTTGCAAAAAGGCAAAAATTATTTTAAATCTGTCGAGGACGCGTTGAGTCTTAAGATTCTGGAAATATGTAGGTATTTAAACATCTAACAAATCATTCTTTGAATTAAAAGATTAGAATTTAATTCAACAATTTAAATTTTTTTTCTTTATCAAAGAGCACCTTTGAACATGTTAAAGCTTTAGTTTGATTTATATCACTAACAATGTAGCCTACAACTCTTCCAGCATTTCATTTAAAATAAACAAACAAAACAGAAAAAGAACAGGTGACAACTTTAAAATGTTGAATCAAATTTTTTTTGATAAAGTAAAACAAAAAACGAAAAGTTATATAATCATTTGTTTAATTGTTATTAATATATTTTTTATCAAGTGTTCTTTGATTCACACTATTAAATGTTTGAAAAAACACTCACTTTTTGATGTGAATGCATAAAATATGAAACTAAAAGTACATTAACATGGGGACATAAAGTTGGCCCAACCTTAGCTAAAATTAAATTAAAGTACAACTAAACAGGAAAGCTGCTAGTTTAAAATCTATCAAACTTCTGAAAAATGTCAGAATTTTTTGTTACAAAAGGTGATTCCTAACAAAGTTCAACAACAAAAAATACATTAGTCTACTCAAAACGAAACTGAAACACAAAACTTTAAATTCATAAGGGTGATTTTTGATAACAAGACTCAGAAGCTTGACAAGACCTTTTCTGCTATTATAAGTGTCGATGCGCAACTTTGTTTTTCATTTACTAATTCCTGTAGTCCTGGTTCTCCGGACAGTCCCTCTTCAAGTGACCAGACTTGTGGCACAAGTAGCAAGACTTCGAGTTTTCAGGACAGTTCCTGGAAATGTGACCAGGTCTTTGACAGCTGTGACAAGTGTCGCTCATACGGTCGCTGCTCCCTTCTGGGCAACTCCGGGCAATGTGACCTATACCAAATCATATCATATGTAAGAAATTGTGGAAGATGCATACAATAATGATAATAGTTTTTTGTTGGTCAGAAAAATAATATACAGTGTGTTTCAAAAGTCTGGGAACGGTTAAATATTTCCAGAGCGACTTGATATAGAATTACGAAATGTTCTGCATATGGGTAATTAATGATGCCTGATTCAATGATGACATCAACAATCTTGCCAAGTTTACCGGGTTTCAGATAAAGACTTTGGTTTTTGACACTTTATTTTCATTGCAATAAATTTGACGCTCAATTGTTAGTGAAACCTCCAGATATCATATCCCTATTTTACGCGGTTTCTGGAACATGGCAACACAACTTTTTTGTTCATTGTCTAGGTACAAAATTATAAGTTATTGATACTTGAAATTACATTGGGCTGTTAATGAATGAATAAGTCTTTAAATATGTAATTACTGAAGCTTACCAGGCTTCCTGCAGTTATAGCACGACGGCATGTCAGGACTCTGATGACAGTCCTTAGCAAAGTGGCCCTCGCCATAGCAACGATAGCAACGCGCCTGCTCCTCTTTGCAGTCGCGAGCATAGTGACCGACCTTGTTGCACTTGTGGCACTTGTCGCGGCCCCTGCTATAACCTCCAGAAAATCCTATAGGAAAGAATATTTGAAAAATTAATAAAGGACGGTTCCAAGTAGAAAACTACCTCTGCCACCTGAGTCACGTCCCCCGGGCGTAGAGCACTCCCTGGCAAAGTGTCCAGGCTGGTTGCACTTGTAGCAGATGCTTGAAGAAGACATTCTCGACACTAGCTTTGAGTTCGTGTGGTGAATACAAATACTAGTTTCCTATCAAAGCTGTTGGTAAACCTGCAATACAAAAAAGACATTTGAAAATTGTTGGATAATAAACCAAATTAAACTAACACATTTTTGAATCAGAAATATCTTATGGCCGTCCCTGCTTTAAATCAACTGTTTTTACTGTCTGGGTTTTTCACCTTTTTTTTTTAATTTGATGAACATTCTATTATAGGTCCTTTTTTCTCAACCAATTATACTCCAATTTCCGATTCAGGTTATTTAATTGCTAAATGCAAGTTAACAAATTTGTGTTGGTTGATTAATGAGTTGATTGAAAAGTAAAAAAAAAACAGAATTGAAAATTTCAATTCATTTAGGACCGTTTAGTCATATCAAAACACATATTTTTGGCCAATTTTCTGGTTTAGAATGCAAATTTGAAAGAAAAATGCTTGAATCTGGTTTATTTTATTGTTAAACGCAAACTTTAAACACATTTAAGATTACGTTGGATTGATTTTGATTGAAAAGGAGACAATAAATGGAAAATATCAGTGAAACGCAATTTTACTTCCATTTGGGACGGTTTATCTGGATATTTGAAAAGAAAATGTCAAAAGGAAACAGATTCAGATGGAATTTATATGATTTTTTGGTTTTATGAATTTCAACCAAAAACACGTCTCCGAATGGATTCTACAGGGTGTCAAGAAAGGTTTGTTACAATGTTACAAACTTCTAGGGATGGTAGATCTCATAAGAATAAAGTTTTTTTTTTTGATACCTTTATCTTTCGGACTGCTCAGCTTTGACCCAGTACTTTCAGAGGCGTGCCACAGGCTATGTCAGATGGTTTTTTTACATGAATGAAATAAATACCTAGCTACTATTTAAATAACCAAGTACTTAAACTACAAACAAATAGCACAAAAATAGTTTTCAGCTTTTCCAGCAATGCAAGTGAGGGAATCATCTAATGATAAACAAATTCTCACAGAATTAACTTCAAGATTTAATCGATTTGCTTCTGTCTTTAAACTTTAAAATGTTGATCAAAAACCCTACCTGTATTACTGAAGGTTCAAGTACCATAATTGATTATTTTTGCGTACATTTTTGGGACAAGCACCTCTGTGAGGCAATGATTGTACCTTCGGTTCGGGATTATCGGATCATGAAGCAATTTTAGCAAGCATAACTTTAAGGACAAAAAAAACCTAAAAGCATTAGAATGGGACAAATTTATAACAATTTTAATAAATTTAGAACGGATTTTCAAAGAATAGATTGGAATAAAATAGAGGCATTGCCAGACCCACTTGATCTTTTTAGCATTGAAATAACTAACTTATTCAATAAACATTTCCCATTAAAAACAATAAAACAAAAAAGTAAAAAACCTTGGGTTACCAAGGGAATAAAAACTTCGTCTAGGAACTTAAGATTTTTGCACCCCCTTTAAAAGAAAACTTCCCTACAGATTTTCTGAAAAAATATTATACTGAAAATTTCCTTCAGGTAATATTTAGGTGAAAATACAGAGGCGTCTGGCAATTTTGGACCAACAGAATCGTAATTGGATTGTTTTTTGACCTGTCCAGAGCATTTGACTCTCTGGACTTAGCTTTTGTCAGGTTAAAATTGGAATCCATTGGAATTCGAGGCAAAGCACTCTCTTTGATAATGTCCTTCCTATCAGAGCGAAAAATACAGGTGAGACTGGGAGAAGATCTGTCAGACACTCACTCTGTTAATATTGGAGCACCCCAGGGCTCAGTGCTGGCGCCACTGATCTTTCTGCTCTTCATCAATGACCTAAAACTACCTGGCCTTACAATTAAGTTTCCGGATGATACAACTGCAGCTATATCGGCTGATAACGAAAAAGAAGCAATGAAGAAGTTGGATGAAATTTGTTACCATATGAGTTCCTGGTGTTTTAGAAATAAGCTTATTCTCAACAGCTCAAAAACAGTAACCATACATTTTTATAACTCCAAACCGAAAATTGAGCTCAAGGAAACCGAAAAAGCTGTGAAATTTCTAGGAATTTATCTTGACAAACAACTTCAATGGCACACCCAAGTGGATCATGTATGCTCCAAACTCAATTCCGCCTATTTTGCCCTACTCAAGCTTAGACAAGTCGTCGAAAGACACGCGCTATTGTCAGCTTACTATGCCCTAGCATACCATCACATGTCTTATAATATAATTCTATGGGGACAAGCTGTTGGTGTGGGTAGAGTATTCATCATCCAAAAGCGGATAGTAAGGTTAATATATGGCCTTAAACCACAGGAAAGCTGCAGTCCAGTCTTCAAAGACCAGAAACTACTTACTCTTCCGTCCATCTATATATATATAAGTGTGCCGTATATGTATATAAAAACAAAGATAGATTTCTAAAAAATGGAGAAAATCATCTATATTCTACCAGGAGAAGCAATGAACTTAGCTTTCCACGACATAGCACTGCTTTATTTGAGAAGTCTCCTCAATATGCATGCATAAAGGTCTACAATGGACTACCAGGAGGAATAAAAACTGAACAGACTGAAAGAAGATTCAAAGATAAATTGAAGCAATTTCTATGCGAAAATTGTTTCTATTCGTTTAGTGACTTTATAAATAAAAGTGTAAATGTGAATGTTTAATACTATGTCTCTCTACGTCAACGCAATTTGGTGGCTCTATGTTATGTTATATAATAATTGTTGTGACTGTTTATATACAAAATTTATTGAAATACTTGATGTTATTATTGTTAGTTTTTTATTACCTACCTACTATTATTTTTTTTATTATTACTATATTTTTTACTATTATTATGATTCAATATTGTGACAAAGCCACATTTACATTGTAAATCTAAGGTGAATAAAATGAAATGAAAAAAAAAAAAATAGGATAGGAAGCGAATTACAGCGATAATTTGCACAAGTGCAATAGTGATGTAAAGTTTCGATACTTTTGAATACCTGTACCGATTCGATACTTTTGATATCAATACCCGATACTTTTATTCGATATTATTTGGGTACTTTCAGTATTATTATTAAGTTGTTGTTGTTGTAATCGTTTATTTAGCTATTATAACTAATTACATAAGTCTTCAGTATCACTGTATTTTTTACTATTTTATAATTTTTTAATCACCCAAAAATCATAGGCTTGAAGGATTTGGTATTTAAAAAGTAATTGTAATGTTGAATTATTGTACCTAATTGTTTTGGGTACTTACTAACCTACCTGTCTACTTATTTATTTTGGTTACCAAAGACAAAAATAAAATATTCGTTATTTTTTAGATACACAATACACAGTGGGTATTTCAAAACTTTGATTATGTATAAATAATTCTACTAGAATATTGTAATTTAGGTTGGGAAGTTATAGGTTTATAGGTATAAAAGTATCGGGTATTTTGAACAACAAGGATTCGATACTTTGGGTATTGAGTGAATACCCGGTACTTTGTATCGGGTAGGTACTTTTTTACATCACTAAAGTGCAAATTATCGATAATTTGCACAAGTGCTATTTGCCGATAATTTTTTTTCAGGTATTTTTTGCCTGACTCAACGAGTTATTATCAGCTTTGTACACAGTAAATTAGATTCAAATTATCAGCTTTCTATACTTAGGCAAATAAAAAACAAAAATTCATCGGGAATAAATGACCTGTCATTAAGGATATTTAGCAACTTGCCCGACTGTGTGCTGGAGTTGCTTGCTAGGTTTATAAATTTATCTTTTGATATGGGTACCTTTCCCGAGAGTCTGAAGACCGCTCTGGTAAGACCAATTTTCAAGGACGGTAGCACGGACGATCCATCATGTTACCGCCCTATATCTCTGCTGCCAACACTCTCCAAGATAATAGAAAAACTTGTAAAGTCTAGGATGGTCTCTTTTCTTCGGGCTCACGGGTTGCTGAATGTCAACCAGTTTGGATTTCAGGACAAGAAGAGCACTAGTGATGCAGTGTTCAACTTTCTTCATAGGCTGTATCTTGGACTGAATCAGGAGATCGCAGCTGCGGTTTTTTGCGATTTTTCCAAAGCCTTCGATTGTGTAAGCCGTAACATATTACTCCAGAAACTCTTTCATTATGGATTCAGGGGTAACACTTTGAGCTGGATACAGTCTTATCTGACAGACAGAAAACAGATTGTTAAGAGCCTCAACGATGTATCATCAGTACAGAGCATTGAGCATGAGGTGCCCCAAGGATCAGTGCTTGGTCCCCTGCTCTTTTTGATTTACATTAATGATCTAGCTTGCATCAACATTGATGCATCTTATTTGCTGATGATACTACTATCTTATGGCTGGGATCAGACAAAGTCACCTTGGAGGATAGGATTGGGCAAGATATTCGCAAGGTAAAGCAGTGGTGTGACTCCAATAAACTATCTTTCAACATATCAAAAACAAATTTACTTTCCTTTAAGTGTTCTGTGGCAAATATAAGTTTGAATGATGAGCCACTTGCTGATAAGGAGTGTTCCAGGTTCTTGGGCTTAGCTATAGACTCTAAGTTGAAATTCGGTGAACATATCAATGACCTTTGAAAAAAACTAGCTCCAGCATGTTATGCGTTAAGGACGGTTCGTAATGACTTGGGTCATGAAATTGCAAGGGGTGTGTACTTTACACTTGTTGAGTCACAACTCAGATATGGCATTGAATTTTGGGGTTTTGCCAGTGGTCAAATAGTTCATTCAGTTTTTGTTTTACAAAAACGGGCTGTTCGTTTATTGTGTGGAGTCGGCTCTAGGGAACACTGCCGGCCTCTGTTTATCCGGAAGGGAATTCTTACATTGCATATTTTCATTTTATTGACGGTGGGCATGGTTCACAAAAAATATAGAGGATTATATAACAATAATGACACCAGGACAACTAGGTTCAACAGCAACAATCTAAGTCTGTGCATCCCAAGGAGTGCATTAACAAAAAACTCAATAATATATGAGGGGAAAAAGATGTATAACCACCTGCCTCTTGAGATCAAATATCTAGAATATAGTGGCCTTTTTGCTAGAAAAGTGAAACAGCTT